TTTTTTTTCAATAAGATGATTGGAATAATTTTGAATATTAATAGAATTATTAGCAATTAAAAGAGATTCAGGTTAATATCGATGTAAATATTACCTGATATATCATTTATGAGAAAATTTAAATTCCATTGACGTAATGGAAATTGTTAAAATATATTTGTTTTATAAAAGGAAGAATGAAAAATTCCTAAATATCAAATTATTCTCAGAATTTTTTTGTTTTTTGTTTTTTTTTTAAATGAATAATACCAGTTAGATTGTAAGTGTTTGCAAAATCGAATTTTCATTTGCTGTTTTTGTAGCTTTTCTCAAGAACCTTGTAATTTTGCATATGTCTCATTTCGTACCCATTTACTTCCAGACAATCAGATGATGATGTCATTGGATAAGTATTCTTGAATACAAATTAAACAAACATCGCACACTTCATTGCATATTTCAATAGAATGGCTTTGGTTTTACGGACATTATTCGTAAAAAATTGAGTCAATAATCCAATTTATAAAAAGAAAAAAAAATAAAATTGAAAAGAAATGCGATAAGTGACATACTTATTTATTTATGTATTTGTTTGCGAATTTACCAGTAGATTTCATTACTAACTTATGTACTTTTATATATCAATATATTGTTGGACAATTTTATGGTTGCATTCTTCACTTTTTTTTTTTTTCTGTACTTTATTATCAAATTTTTTTTTCTCAGGTATGGGTGCAAAATTTTGGCGCTTTCCTTGAACGTGATCATGGATGTCTCATCATTGATAATGCATTAGTACCATCGACAATCTGTAATCAAACAGGAAATATTAATCCAGATAATAAAATTACTTCTAGTGGTGTAAGTTATTTAATGTTTATTTTTCATGCACTTATTTTATATTTGCTATTAAATTGCTTTAAAAAATTTTACTTTCAATTAAATTAAAATATATATGAAGAAATAAAACTTCATTATTTGTACGATAAGTAATGATGAGATTATCATATAAATATCATGATATGATGTATTTTTTATAATCCAATTCTAACAGTAATACTAAAAAAAAAAAAAATCATAATATATTTGATCAGAATTGTTATGCTTTTCGTTTCATTTAGAAATGTGATTGAATTAATAATTTTCAGTCTTCACCAACATCTCGTGCTTCATCGCAATCACCACATGCTTATCGAAGTGGTGGAAGTTCTTCTGGATCATTTTCGTATGCTGCAAGTGTGCCATACAATTTACTTCCATCAAGTCAGAAGAAATCTCAAAATATATCGAATGTTACATCAACTGCTATCTTAAGCGAGGTATTATTTAATATTGTCAAAAATTATTCGTTGTTTAATTCTTGAAATTTTTTATAAGTTTTTATAAATAAATGGTTTTTTGATCATATCGTTAATTTATTTCATCTTCAAATTTACATTTGCTATCTTTTTATTGATAGTAGCAAATTCTGAATGTTGCATTTTTTTTCTTTTCCATTTTATTTTATTGTAATGCGATGTGTGAGTTAAAGTTTTCTGATGGACATTTTAATGCGAAATTTGCCGTCAGAAAAAGACTGTTTTTTTTTTTTTTTTTTTAAATTTCTTTTGAGCAACCGTAATTTAGTTTCAGAATGTAAGCGCTGAATTAACGAAGCTTTCTGATGGACGTTTTGAGAGACTCGTTGAACAGCTTCATCAAATTCATCCGCTTCATTTAATTTTTCATGATCTATCATGGTATCAGAAAAGACCGACGCTGCTGTTGTTTTGGTTTTTGAAAAAGTAAATTTTGAGCAATAACTCGAAAACTTTAAAGGATCAATGATGGATGCGCATTTCTTGTATATGAATTACATCTGCAACAATTGAGATTTTATTTTTTAACGCTGTCATCATTTTTTTTTTTTTTTTGCAATTGCTAGTAGTAGCGTTCTTTTTTCTAGATTACGAAATTTACGTCGTTTAACTCTTCATTCAATTCGAGGCGATCAAATGGTCGAATTGCATAAGGTGTTCTGTGTAGACGGAATTGATGAATTGAATATTATTCAACCGGTAGAAATTTAATATAATTGCACTGAATTATTTTTCTTTTTTTTTTTTTGTTGGTTAAATATTTCAGAGAAATGAAATTTTATTTTTCCTTTGGTATAATTATAATAATTAAGTAGAGATTGAAATTTCAGACTTATAATGCATGCATTATTGTTAACGAAGGTCTTTTCGATGCATTTCTCCAAGTAAACAGTGCAATACGTCGACGATTTCGTTTACGCATCACTGGTAAAACTGGCATTAAAGCTTCCACTCTTTGTAATTTTATTCGTGTAAGTTATTATTTTTCATTTTGACTATTTTTGCAAGTTTATTTTAATATTCAAATTAAGAAGTTTTCAAATATTTTAATTAGCGATTTTTTAATTCTGCAAAAGGTGATTGGTTTTATACTTCAATTTATAGTTGTGTTATTTAATGATGATAAAAAAAGAAATAGTCAGATCAGGATTCATTATTAGAAAATGCACAGATCATCGATATAAAAATTGTGATTTCACTCTTTGACTGCTATAATTTGTTATTATTAGTTGTGTAAATCTGTTTGTGTCTAAGGGTAAAGTGAATATTAGTATCAAACATTTTATCAGTAACGATTAACAGTAGTTGAAATTAAGCAGTGGTAAATTTTTTTTTTTTTTTTTTTTAGAAATGGCGAAATCATCGCGAAATTGTACCGTTCCATAGTATTCTCATTGATGAAGCATGCGTTTCTTCATCGGAATTTGTTCATGCAACAAAATGTCCCGGATGTAGTGATTGTGGTGGTGAAGTTGGTTTTTTTTTTTTTTTTTGGTTGCAGATTTGTTTTTTCATTTAAAAAAAAAAATTTTTTTTTTTGCTTCAAACAACACTTTTAAACTTAGATATGTTGCAATAATTTTTTATAAAATTTAATTTGTTCAAGGTTCTACGACATAAATCCAATGGTACCACCTGGAATACTAAGCAGCTTGTTTTTCGACATCGTAAATACAATGTTTGGATCAATTATAAATCTGAAAGCGGGTAATATTGTAGTTTAATTAATATTGCTAAGTTAGAATTTTAAAAATATCATTTGATGCCTCTATCATATTTATCAAAAAAAAAAAAGGACAATGTTTTTTTTTTTTCTCATTCCTAAAAAGTAATAATGTTTTAGTATGAAATTGAATAAAAATTCTGAAGATTTTTTGTAGTTCTAATGAAATTTTTTTTTTCTTGTTTAATATGAAAACTATTAGCATGTATCAAAGGATTTTGTTTTTTTATAGAGAAAAAAAAAAAAGAATTTATTTATAGATATCTTGTATTCACCTATTACAATCCCAAAGATAGTAATCATTTTACGGTGAAAACAATGGAATCTGAAAGCACTGTTGTTTCATTCTATTCATCATCAGCACCAATATCTCAAGAAAAACCGGAAGAAAGTGATATAGCTGATCGGAATTGGTCATTATTTAAGAAACCAACGGGTACTGCAGATGAATTGACAATTTTACAACGAATTTTTGCTCTTATTAGAAGCAGTGCTTAAATAAAGAGATTTTCATTATTCTCACCTCATTTATTCATTAATTTTTCTTTTTTTTTTTTGTTTTTTTTTTCCGTCATATGTAAACACACTTACGAATGGTATTCCATTTATAATAGTATTATTTATTTATTTCAAAATGTTTCTGACAAAATGCTCACTTTTTTGTTTTGTTCAATTTTTACTGTAACTGTAATATGAATGAATGTAAAAAGTAGTGTATAGAGAGTAGTAAGCTGCATAATGTAAAATATATGAATAAGATTTAGTTTATTATTTTTTGAAAATAAAATAAGATTTGCAGCTTATTACTTTTCCGACACTAATAATATTTGAAACAAAATAACATGCTTAAATATATAAGCTAGCGGATATTTGAATTTGGATAAATTGATCGGATAATTTTATTTTATTAAACTTAGTTAGCAAAATTTTTTTAGAAATTTCCATTAAACAATAATTTTACAACCTATAATCAAATCCAATAATGATTAAAAACTGGCTGAATTTGTTTCATTTTTCTATTTAATGATGTTGTTTGTGAATAGAGGCATTTATGATGTCTGTTTTTTTTTTTCTTTTGTTTTTTATTTTTACTGGTTGTGTAAATTGGTGATGATTTAATTTAATTCAACTCTTTTCTTTTTCTCGGGGACTGCTTAACTGCATAACACGTCTTGTGAGCTTAGCGAACTTTTTTCCACCCTTTTCCTTCTGATATTTTTTAAATTATTCTTTCTTCACTCTTTTTTTTTAAGTTTTTTAAATCTCTCCCGAACTATCCTCCCTGAAAAGAAACATTTTTTTTTTTCAGACACTAAATATGGATGTTTTTTTTTAGCACATTATTTATACGATTGTATATATTTGTATGTGTGTGTGTGTATGTGTGTGTGTGCGTGTATTGCAT